TCATTCCAGCACGTTTGATATATCAGATCCGCTTTTCAGCATTAAGAAAGCGATACTCTCCTCTCTCAATAAGTGAATTATTGACATAAATACATAAAATCAGCTGATGAATTTAGTTCTGTAGCTGTAGCTGTAGCAAACTCCTGCCTATCGTGGCTCGGCACCAAAAAAATTTAAAATATTGGTTCCGTACGTCATGCGGACTGCGCCCCTCGTGCGGATGGGCGGGAATGGAGGGTAAAAACCGTTGGGATATTATTATTATAAAGATAGTATTTCTATCGATACAGATTATACCTAAAAAATCTCCTCTAAATCCGTTCAGTAGTTTTTGAGATAAGCGCGTTCAAAGAATCTCGAATTTCTTTTACACTATGTATAGAAGATAGCAGTTTTTAAATAGGTGGCAACCCTACTAAAAAAAATTAAAGGTTTTTTAAATGCGAAGGACAAGCCCTTTCATTTGATATCTCATTTGGTAATCCAACGAACGGAGAAAATCTTTTTACCTTTTATTAGGTGGCAACCGTACTCAGAAAAATAATCCATTATTACACATCTAGAAGCCAAGTCTTAACGTTTGACTGCGAAGGTACAGAACAGATGCCTATTGTGATTGTATATAGTAATTTTATCAACAAGTGGCAACCCTATTCCAAAAACTATATCATTTTTACTTTTCTAGAGGCCTATCGCTTTCATTTGACACCTCAACTCTTGTAATCCAGCGAACGGTGCGGATCTTATAGTTTTTTAGACATTAAAATAAATGAAAAAGGTCACTCTACTATCGATACGAAGTATGTTGAAGAAAATCTCGTCAAAATCCGTTCAGTAGTTTTCGAGATTACCGCGTACAAAGAGTCTCGACTTTCCTTTATGCTATGTATAGATAGATACCAAAGAAAGTGATAAATTGCTGTTATCGAAAACTCACAAAAGGAAATAATTCCTCAAAATAGTTGTTCCAGCGACTTTTAGACTAAAACCTTTCGAACTGTCAAATAGCAAAATTACACTCTCAAGTGAGAGTAATAAAACAATTACGACGGTGATTTTCATAATCGAAATAAATAACAAAGATGTAAAGTTTAAAAAAATAGTATTCAAAAGAATAAAACAAAATACAATGAGTAAATTAATTTCTGCTTACAATATTGTTTGCGATGTTTAAAATTGGTATTTGTAGAACAAATAATGTAAATTTCACATCGCGACTGATTTTTTTTTAATATACACATCTAATTTTAGTATTTATTTGAAAAAAATAAAACTTAATGAAATTCAAAAAAATTTGTCTGCAGCGCCATCTAGTGCAGAGCTAATAAAAAACAAACTTCAAAAATGAATTCAAGAACTTGACCAAATTAAACAATAAATTGTGTGCAAGGATTCAATCAAGGATATCTTCCTCATTTGAGCTAAACTCGAAAAAGCCATTGCCGTGTTATTATTGACAACTAAAACTGTCACTTGCATTTGGTTTTACCCAATATCAAGGCATATTGAACAGGTAGTATCAATAGTATCAAAATTATTTGGTCTCGAAAATGTCTAATATTTTTAATTTCTTCTCACAAAAATGCAAAATAGTTAACATCTATTTGAATGTGAAACCTTTTCCCATACAAAACAAGCGATTGAATAGCAACTTTGGAATGCTCGCCCAACTCAGCAGCCCAACCGCTGATTACTGGGCCTTGCAAAGGATGGCTTAATGCTTCGAGAAGCAGACAAATTTACTAAGAAAGAAAGTTGCAACAATTTTTATTTTTTTCCAATTTCAACTTTTTATTTATTATTTTTCTTTTCTTTTGAATTTCACATGGCACGCTTTGATTTAGATACCAGAAGCAACTACAAAATATATGCAAATGTGGTTTTTGCTCTAATGCTACTACCTGTTTGATATGTCTTGCTCAATACCGATTTGAGCTGTCGCACAGTGTAATTGAAAATAAAAGGGTATTTATTTAAAATGCCCTGCTTTTTTTATACTTAAAATCCACATTAAAAAACTCAATGCTATGAAGACGTACTCCTTAATACAACTTACTGTAGTTAGTTCCACAATGGTAGAATGAATAACCAAACGATAGAACAGAAGTCGCCATCCTTCTTGCATATTTAGTATTAAATCTATCCTTTAAATTGAGTTGGGAAGAAAGCATAAAAACAAGGTAAATAAATACTTGAAAGCATATTAAGCTGGGGAAGTTTGCTCATCTTCAGGAGCCCACTGAAGGTGAATGCTTGGGTCACACTTCGGAAATGAATCCAACATACGAATATATATACTTTGCTCACCTACGGTGGGGCATTTAGATGAACTTTACTGAAGAACACCTATCAAAACAAAGGATTTGCGCTTGCTGAACGCTAACACTATGTTGCCCAATCTAACTCATCTTGAACTGTGTACATGTTACATTTTTATTAATAGTATGTAAAATCAAAACTGTTCTTCAGAACGGAGTTGGAAAATCAGCAAAACTCGCATTTTTACCACATTTATATCAACTGGCTTTCTTGTTCATCCGCATTTCAGTACAAAGTTTGCAAGCTATTTTTAAGCAACTATCTGATGAGCTAGAGATTTAACCCTTAATTAGGCGCACAGGGTCAAGCCCATTTCAAGTTGAAAAAAATGTCTTGGAGTGCTTGCAGCATGCTAGCGCTCTCTCTAGCTTCCTAACTCCCCGCATACGTAAATTTGTCACTGCCAATACATCGGCCTGTACACATGTGTCCTGACACCATGCGAGCACTCACGTAACATTTTTTGGCGGAGGTAATTTTTTATTTTTGTATCTAAGTTTGAAGTCAAAGTTATGCTTTTCTTTCTTAAAGTTAACTATGCTAAGGAGCTTTAATATTTATGACATTACACATTTCGTTTTATTTATTTATTCATGGATAGAACGTTGTCGCGTACACATGTATCGCTACTCTCTTTAGTGCTGACCTCATGCGACCACTAACGTAACATTTGGATTATTGTCCGCACCAGTGGTTAGACAGACTTGGGGGCAATTCAACAATATTAGAGTGGACTTTATCTATTTCAATATCACTGAAAAATGTATTCTTGTATCGTGGGTCCAGAAATGTGGAGATAATTAACAAGGATTCATTCTCAAGAAATAAATAAGATTCTCAAAATTAACAAGTAAGAGCAGCGCTGTCTTCGGCTATGCCGAAGGCTTCATACCTTTCATGAACATCTGCAAATTTTACTTTGACAGATTACTGCTTTTGAATACATCTGCATACATCGATAGAGGAGTTACATACTTATATAAAAAATCGCATCTAAACAATCAGAGGTATGGAAGATATACTTTATATGACACCAATCTAAGTGATTTTCACCGCTATGTGATCGGTATGTAAACCGGTAACACAATTTATTGGGTTTAGTTTCGTACATAAAGGAGATATATGGCAAAAACTGGTATCTTAACAATCAGTGCTATAGGAGATAAAGCTTATACAGCATAGATTTTGACGATTTTCTCAGTAGACTTTGTATTATTATTTATAAAATATCTTACGAAATTTATCGGTTTTAGCTGTTCAAATAAAGGAGTTTTACAGTAAAATCCCATATCTGAACAATCAGATGTATGGAAGATATATGTTGTAGTCATCCGATCCTTGTTATTTTCACTGTAAGTATTCTGTTAATAATGAGTGAAAATGGTGCGAAATTTCATGTTCCTAGCTGCATAAATGGAGGAGTTATGATAAAAGACCTCATATCTGAACAATCAGTTGTATGGGGGCTGCAGGTTATAGTGACCCGATCTTTGTTATTTTCACTGTAAGTCTTCTGTTGATAATGAGTGAAAACAGCGCGAAATTTCATGGTCCTAGCTACATAAATGGATGAGTTATAACGAAAAATTTCATATCTGAACAATCAGTTGTATGGGAGCTATATGTTATAGTGGTCCGATTCTTCCGGTTCCGACAAATGATTAATACATTATAAAAATACACCCACCTACCAAATTTGATCCGGATATCTCGAAAACTGAGAGACTAGATTGCATACAAACAGACAGACAGACGGACAGACGGACAGACGGACAGACGGACATGGCTAAATCAACTCAGCTCGACGTTCTGATCATATAAGTATACATTTTCATGGGTCTATCTCTTTTTGTTCTGGTACTTACAAACATCGGACCAAAGTTATAATACCATTTCATGCTCATGAAAGGCATAAAAATTAGGTACACTTATGGGAGTTTGCAGAATTACCACCGCAAGCGTAGCAGCGCAAAGCAGCCGGGCGCCTAATTGGATCTACATATTTCTATTTTCTACGACAGGCAGCAGCGTACAAGGGTTGTTTTGCCTTTATAATACTAAGCTTTAAATTGGAACAACCTATATAACATATGTATATGCTTTACGCTGCTATTGTATGCTTAGTGGTCGCTAACTGGGCGCTCTGCCCATGTACACATTCGCATTCGCAAAACATTAGTATCATGGGTTGACACTCCGCCTCAAGCAAGTGCTTGTTCGGGTGCTCGCGTTGGTAATACCCTACTGGGAACTTTTGGACTTCGCTATGCAAATGATGTTCAGGCAACATCAGAAGGCATCCTGTCGCTGTCCGAAGTGCTGCGTTTTGAAAAGTCTGGAGTTTTATCCACTGCGTCCAACTAGTCCATGGCGGACAAATGGGTGCAGCATAATTCAGAAGCAATTGCCTTGTATTTATGTTGCCAACAACGTCTCTTTCTCTTTGATCCGGGTGCCGCCGGCGTGCGACTTGAGGACCTGGTTGTGGCTTTGTACTTTGTTGACAAATGCGGTGGTGTGCGTTACTAGCGCCGGGCTCAATTTTTTAGCAGTTTGTGCAGCCTTCTGATTAATTAACGTGTGGCCTTTTCCGTCGAAGGATGCAGTGTCTATTTCTTCGGATCCAAGGAGGAGTGACCATCGGATGAAATTTCCACTCTTTCATCACGCCTCCTTGGGTGGACAGCAAACTCACGGTTGACCCGCGCAAGTTATCGACGGTACTGCACAGTGTAGTGTTGAGTGAAGGCTAGGCTAGGTAAGTTGCTGTCCAACTTCGTTGCTTGGATTGCAGCTATCAGCATGCCATGTCGACCCATGAGGACGGAAGATCGGATCTGAAGTCCGCTGCATTTGAGTTGTAGAAGTTGTGATGCGGGTCCTGTAGTGCTTGCCGCTGTGAATATTGCTGCCCAGTGGTAGAATGCGGACATAGAGCTCTGCTACAGGGTGCGCAGTAGTTATTTGTACACTCACGGGTGATGCTGGTTGTAAGTCATGTAAGCTCCGTGGATCCGAGGGGCTTGTTCGCACCCGCGGGTTGCGCCATTTGGAGGTCGTGTATACTTATCTTATCGCAAGGCTTGGGATCCATGAACCCGTTCTTAGGTTGCTCCATCCGTAGGTGTTGCACCTAACCAAAGTGGAGTTCGTTTTGAATTCCTAGCAGAAGGAGGTCTCTGGTCCGGGGGTGGACTCGACTCTTCTTGCTATGTATGCCATTATTTAATATTGCTTGTGATATGCTTTTATCAATTAATACATTTTTTGTTATAAAAAATGTTTTGTCTGCTGCAATTATAATAGATATATGTAATAACGTTTGTACATATGTACAAATCGTTTAATATTACACCATGCGTACATATCTATGTAGCATGTATACAGGGAAGACAATTTAATATTGTTTTAACGTAAACTAAATTCCTAACAATCATACTAATGCGTTTAATTGCCCCGTCGCATTGTCGCAATTACAATAATGCTAAAAGTATACCTTTGGTTATTTTTATCTAACCTGAAAATTGTACCGAAAGCCAAACAACAACACTTTTCAAAAGACTATAAGAAGCAATCCTGTATGCCTGCCTCTTGTTGGTGAGCTTAATAGAGAGTTGTTGTTGCAGCCACAGCCTTTGCATGTTGGTCAATTCTTGTCTTTGCAGCTTTTGGGTTCACTTCAAAGCTGTCAACTTAAGATCCATAAAATATTCAATTGTATTGGTCATAATTTTCCGCATTAATACGCACGCACACGCGCCACCAATGTGTAGGTTGATCTAAATTGCTGAAAGAGGAGACACGAAGGCGCAGCCACGTGGAACGATGCACTCAGTCACTTATTGGATAAAAACGCCAATGCAATTAAGAGCAACGACCACAGAAAACTTCTTAAAGAAGGGGCGACAAGTGAAAATAAAAAGCCTGGGTGACGGAGTTTTTCGACTTAGTATGAGTGTGAAGATGGTGGTGCATATATACATTCGGATGTATGTATGTTTTTTTTTTTTAATTCTTTCTTAACCCTGGAACACTTATCATATTTTTAATACGTAAACACTAATTATTAGTCGAATAGACTGGCATGTATTTAGCATTGATTCTTTTTAAGTTTTAAATCATTAATCGTCAAAAAATATTATATGTATATGTTATTATTTTAATATTTTCTTAGCAAAGTAAAATAATAGTAATGCGGTTATGTTGTGGTTTAAATAATTAAATTCCATTTTCAAAATTATTTATTTTTAAGCAACTACACCACAAAACATAAACTATGTTAGTCGGATGGACTGACGTTAGTGAGCTAGGGTTAATCAATGTTTGTTAGCAGTTGTGATATTTTTGTGCATATTCATTTCCTTTTAATATTCTTACATTTTAATATTGTCTTATAATTTTTCTGCTTGCTGCGTCATTGCCATTTGTGCAATCATATACATAATTAACCAATTGTTCGTGACACAAGCTGCTTCTGGTGAAATATTGAGTAACACTGTTTACATTGAAACTCAGAAGATAATGTAAAAAAAGTATACTGTGTTAATACTGTTACAAATCAAAATCAGTTATCCTATGCAATATATACATATTTAAGCGAGCTGGACCGATTTGAAAATACCTCCAAATATAGAGGTTTTTGTGAATAAAAATAGTTTCTTAAAGATGTTTTTTGAAAAAATTCCCCCACATGACAAAACGGTTGAAGCTTAAAAAATTTACATAAAAATATTTAAAAAAATTTTGAACGAAATCGTAATAATGAGATTTTTGATTCTGTATTTTATCTTTTTTCAAAGATTGGTATAAGAAAAACTTGATTAACTGAACCTAAAATCTTCCGATTTAGACTTGTATCATTGGAAAGGTATTTTATCACCCTTCTTATTTCTTTGCTAATAAGCTCTTTCAAAGGATTAAAGAGAAAAGTAGGATGAACGAACTTCATTCAAAGTCAAACTAAGATGTGTTGGTATTTGAAAAAAAAACAGTTTGGACACGAATGGCGTTTTTTTACACATAAATAAAAATAGTGGGAAAATACCTTTCTACCGAGATCCAATAAGTCTAAATCAGAATAGTTTTGGCCCAGTTATTTAAGTTGTTCGTAAATCAATCTTTGAAAAAAAGTAAAAGAAACAGCGTCAAAAATCTCATTATTACGATTCTGTTGAAAAGATTTTAAAATATTTTTATGCAGATTCTTTACGCCTTATCTGTTTTGTCATCTGAGAGGACTTTTTTTCAAAAAGTTCTTTAAGAAACTATAAAAAATATTTTTTTTACACTATTTTATTTTATAATTTTTAGTTCATTTATAAAAGCGTTGAATATTAAAAAGTGTTATTTTATTTTATGTACAAAATTTTGAAATAGATATTAAAATAATTCTACTTGCAATGAAAGAGAACAGAAGACTTGGCAAGCCAAATGTTGTTTACTTACGTTTTGTTTAAACATACATATGTACATATAGCAGCAGTTAATTTTATTTAAAGAAATGGCGTGTCGTCCATTTCCGCTGTAGCATGGCATATATTTAGGCGCAATATTTAACTTCTTCTAACGGGGCGACATCTGGAGTCTTTTAATTGTATCTCCCTGATATGATGCCTACAACGAGGTTCATATCTAGACTAGGAATAGCTTTGCTACACTACCGCCGCGGGGCGCCGGCAGCTTTGGCAATTATATAGTGGTTTTACGTTCTTTCGCAAATTACGCTCTGTTAGCCATAAATCTTACTATTTTTTGACCGCCTTTGAATCAAGACCCCTGGACCATATGGAGAATTCATTTAAATTTTAAATTGCAGTGTCATCGGGATTGGAACTATGTTGAAAATTTCAAGTCTCCAACTTGTCTGGAAGTCAGTTTACAATTGATTGGAAATTTCCGCGATTTGCGCGGGATGACCAAGTTAAATAAAAGCTTATAAAAAAAATAGGACTGTCCCGTACAATACAGATGGTCACCGTAGCTTGCACATAAGTATGTTAGTGTTAAGCTGGGATCACACGATTTGTATATTTGGCTAAAAATTTGTCAAATTCATAGACAAATCATATGAACGCTAAATTACATTTGTCATTTATCAGAAAAGCCAAATATTTGCCTTCTTGTGGCAAATGAAAAACAACCCTGGTGGCCAAATCGTGTGAACGCAATGCTGCTACATAAGCCAAATAAAAATTACGCAAATGACCAAATATCTGATTTGCCACNCGGAATATTTTCGTGGACGTCTTAAAATATAATAAATTTTCTAATCCCGGCGGAAAAACCGCAACTTTTTTTGGTGATGCAGTCTAATGTACATATCTGTATTCGTATGGAAAAGTAGGTTATGTCGAAAGGCTGGCTTTAGTTTAATGCACATTCCCTTTTTTCTCTAAACGACAAGGATTTTTTAATAAGACTTAATAAGAATATTGACTTGCTAGTATTGGAACTATTTCTTGCACGTTTATTTGCCAAACGTTGTTCAATGGCTCAGCGCCAGTGAGTCATTCGCAATCGCATGCTGCAAATGCCGGATTATACTAAAGCCAGCCTTTCGACATAAGCAACTTTTCCATACGAACACAGATATATATACGAACCCAGACTTACAAAGATTGCCCACATATACAGATCCAGACGTATATTTTTTGGGGTCGTAAATAAATATTTTATGTCTCATCAACATCAGTGGTTCCGCACATTTTTTGGAATTAGATTTTGTACCTTGGACAGCAGT